GGCGCTCATCATATTACACACCGTTCATGCATCGCGTCCGCCGCCGCGCTGCTTTGAGGAGAGATGAATCCTCGATTCGGTTAAACGCCCGCCAACCGGGGGATGCTCTAAATCAGGGCTGTCTACCTGAGCACATACGCACACATCGGCAGACGTGTGTATAGACACGCGTGCGCACACGGGTGCACGTGCACACACAGCCCGGCTTTTCGAAATTCCAATACTCCACCGAGCGAGCGGGGGAAGTGAGAGATGAGACGAGAGCGAGAGCGACGTCGACTATTGCACCGATGCGTTTTCCTGCGCATCTCGTCGCGAGATGTATGTCTTCCTCGCTGGCATGATCGATCATGAATAGAAATCGACGGGATGCGATGCCGCGATGTTGCATCGTGTTTCACTCCGAGATGGGATAATGGAATCAGAGATATCGAAATTTGAAAAAAATTGAAGTTTGCGAAAGAGATATTCTCCCTTTCCATCTTTATTCCGTGAAAGAGAGAGAGAGAAACTGTTAAATTAATGATGGTAGTCCGTGACAAAAGCTATTTGGAATTATTCCGAAAATAGCCCGTGGAATTACGTAATGATGCATTTAAATTGCGATTCGCGTAGAACGATAACAAAATAAACGTCCGACAGAGTAACCGTGCCAGAAAAGCGTCGCTAGAAAATGTAAATAAGCGTGAGGTTTATTGGCAAGTGTTCCAGTGTATCAGATGCGTCGTTTCCAAGCGCGTCGCGATTTATCATTGCGACTCGCACGGAATTTCAGCCCCGAGTGCTACTCGTGCTCGTTGTACTTCAGCTCTACAATCGACTGTTTACGTGCAGAAAATTAATTCTACTTCATAAAATACGTATCGCGCATTTTGCACTTTATATGCATTTTACATATTCGCGACACGAAGCGGATTTGCGATTTTTAAAATTTCATATGAGAACGCCTAATGAAGATGCCCGATGAACGATCGAAGACGACGACTCGCGGGCAAATTGATTGCGAGATCACCGGTTACGATAGGTCTCGGCATTATCGCGCGTTTACGATGTTTGCACACAATGGCGATGCTGATTCGCCTCGCCGACGAGCGTCGCCGATGATCGACCGCGACGGAGGTCGATCCGCGGTCGATCATCATCGCGCGTCCGGGACTGGACAAACGATCGCTAATCTACGCGTACGTGATCGCGATGCGAACGCGCCCGCCCGTCGACTTATTGTTATTCCTGTCCTCGGTCGGTGTCGACGTCGTCGCAATTTGCGAGAATGTGGTCGCCCGATAGCGTAGGATTGGTTCGACATCCGTGCGTTCTCATCCGCCCTTCGTCGAGGCGGCCGCAAGCCGCAGACCATCGCACTTTTGATCGCGCACACGCGCGTTCATTATCCGCGCACGTACACACGTAACCGAACGTTGCGCTTAACCATATTTACGGTCGTATTGCTCATCACGTACTTGTATATGCTCTCCCTTCCTCTTCTCTCT